ATATCCAAGTGTGAGAAAAAAACTCCTCGGATGAACAAGAGACAAAGCCAGGTTGCTCAGTTGCTATGACAACAGCTACACGCCGATCAGCCTTTTTGCAGAATATTTTGCTGTCATCTTTGACGAGCAATCACATGCACACACACACACGTTTACAAATAACCCACATACACGCACAAAATCCCTGTGAGAAACCGACAATAGCAATCACAATGCTGGAAAATAACAATTATGTTGGATGAAACAAGTATCTCTGCATAGGCCTTATAGATAGTGGGAGTCTTTTAAGACTGCGCGGTCTAAAGTGTGCCAGTGAGACAGAGGGAGAAAGGAATGGAGAACAGATGATGCCTTGAGGCCTTATGGCTCGGTAGTGACTTCCTCAGTTGGATAACTCAAATGGCTCAGAGCATGCAGACGAGTAAACCGGTCGACAGACAGAGCAGGTTTTGGTGGTGAGGCCAATCTGACGCTATGGAAAGCTTTCAGGTGACGTATCGTACCCTCTGGCACCCGTACAAGAGATCCATAGCTCTTGGACAACACTGATGGCAAACAGATTTTTAGTATATATACAAAGTTGCTGTCTCATTAGAACCGGGCTCCCTCTTGACAGTGTTCGCATTCCCTGTGTGTGTTGTTCTATCTCGCATCAAATTGAAAAAAAGGCTAGAAAAAGATCCCAAAAGTGTACTGGAAGGATGTTTCAGTGGTGCTGACAGATGGGAAGCTGTAACATTTGATGTATCATGACTAAACAGCACTTTCTTCTTCAGCATGCATCCTGGTGAAATATGGGAATGAACTCATCTGATTTAGCTTTAGTGGCAAGTTGAATGTTAACATCTGTTGCTTTGCTACACCACCCTACTGGCTATTAAAACTGTTTGTTTAGATTAGCTGAGGTGTCAAGTCACCACTCTAAAGAGACTAAAGGATAATTTACTGTTTCTGGTAGCAGAATTTGCTAAATTCTCAGTGAGATCAGAGGGATCTTTCCAGCATTTCAATGTAGATGCAGTAGCAGTACAATGTTCAGCGTAAGACTCCTTTGACTTGTGACACTGTTTCTAACACCTGCCCTACTTTCCAATGGTAACTATTGACCAATCCACCTCTTTATTGACGGGTGCCTATGACCTCCTCTGCAGGGTTTCATTAGTTGGAGTGAGACATGAGCTTAATGCGGAGCTCTGCGTCAGAAACAGAGTCAATTAAGTCCCATTTGCTAAACATAGTACCTGGAAAACACAACACTGGTCCTCCTATTAGATAAAACTGTCATTATTTACTCAGAAGATACAGAACAAAATACAGAAAATACATCATATTATGGAAGTAAAGATAGCCTTTCGTGGATCATGGGTCAAAGTAGTTGACGTTTGACAAAGTTGACATTGTTGCCTTTTGGTTATTGGTTCACACTGCCCAATTACAAGTGGATAAAATATTATAAATATGTGGTGTAGAGAGTATTTTTAGTGTTGTAGCCACTGGACAAAAGACAAAACAAACACAGGTCAAAAGGTGAGATTTATCTGTTCTATTCTGTCTACTAGTCAAAAATAAAACCGAATATGTTTGTCTCTCCATGCCTGAGTCAACATGTCAACATCCATCTCCTCAATACCTTGGAAAGTTTGAAACGCTGGCGCTCATGAAACTGTGCGCCTTTACTAAATGACTGAATTGACGCCAACTCCGGCTATTCTTCTCAGGTAACTCTTTTTCCTCACCCTGTTTTAAATGTAGCTGTTATTTGTATTTCCATTTGTATTAGCCTATTCTCAAAGGGACCTCCATTGTGGTGCCACACTTGGTTGCTAGGATATCTGTGACGCAACTGCAAAGCATCTATGGGAGGTTAGGGTGAGTGAGTGACGTCATCACAACACGTAGCAATAAACCGAGTGTTGTGCACAAAGCGTATGAAGAAGATCTAAGCCATTTATATCCACAAGCACACACTCACAGACTCCCACACTCGCTTTCTCTCTCTCTGCATCTCATGCCAGCACACACACTCATACACACACATCAGTTTTACAGCAGGTGTACGTGTTGATCAAGTCCCAAGGCTGATATTGGACCTCCAAGTGGATACAAGGCATCCTCACAAATTGTGGCATCTGTCTGCTCCAACTGTGTGAGTTCAAACAGCCTGAGGCTCTAGAGGTGAGCTGTCCATGGAAAATGTCTCTCAGTGGCCACCATAACTTTTCATAATTGGACAGACAATGACTTATCATAACACCTGGAGCAAGAGCAAAAACACTAAAAACTTAATATTTATTATTCAGCATGACCATGGGAGTAAACAACAACAAAAAACAATAAGACACTCCTTGCTTGCAAAAAGTTTTTTTTCCCAGTCTGTTGGGCATACATCAATATAAACATCAGACACAGTGCAAGAAAATGAACATGAGTATTGCAATGGCTACTATGATGTTCACTGTCTGCACATGTTTCTTTATGTATGTGCATCAGAAGCCTTATTAAGTAAGTTTTGTTTCTGCCATTAAGGATGCCATCTTTTATCTAATCTAATCATATTATAACCAGACTATTATAAACAGTATATCTAGGTGGTAAAGCCCAACAAACTCAAAGGAAGGCACTGACGTTTCATCTTAGACTGGGCACTGACTCATCCCAAGCAGACAGTGTTTGGTCGCCTCAGCCAGTCTTGTGAGACCTCTGTGTGTTTTGATTCAAATGACTAGAGAGATGAGTGATAATGCTTTTGGCTGTAGGGCCCTGACGTATGAGATGGCAGTGATACCAAAATCCCAAACATAGACACAGGACGGATGTTTAGCCTGGCTTACCAGGAGCACGCACGCTTGTCCACATGATCACACACAAACACACAGATATATATATGCCATTCCTAAAATAAGAACTAGAGACACTTGGAAGCTCAAGAAAGAAGAAAATGTCATTATTTACAAGTAAGCGCAATGAGCAGTGACTCTTGATCACATGACCTCTTCTATTTTTGTATTATTAAGCACTATTTTGTATATATCGATATTGGCTATATGGCATCAAACAATACAATTTGGACATCTGGATAACAACCTTATAAACAGTGCTACTCATAAAATGTGAATGAAAGGGTGGAAAGTGGTACAGTATAACTGCAAACAAACTGTAAAACGTATAATGATTTGATCTCTTAAAGCTAAAAGTTCTAGTTAAATGTTGATGTATGATAATAATAACACAGTAATTACATCACCTTTAAAAAAAAAAAAAAGTAAAGTAAACACAGAGGTGAATCTTATTTTCCGCATACCAGTCGGTTCTCAAACAGATCTCAGTAAGAACTGTAACTGACACCAGCACAAACCAGTCTAACTTGTATTTGGGAGAACATTAATACATGCCTTAACAGTATAATTATAAAAAGAAGTCAGAGACGTTTCTGAACAAGCGTTCCCAGCGACTCCTCCAAAAAAGCCTGAAGGAGAGTATGAAGCGGTAGGACTCCTTCCACCATCAGAGCTGTCCACAGCGGACAGCTTATCTTGGATTTCAGGTATACAGGCAGGTCTCCAAACCAAGCTGTGATACCCACTGTGTCTAATAATGTTTTCTACTACAGCAGGATAAAAAAAGCAACTTGTACTTCATCCAACTTCTAAAAACTCCTTCTCTATTTAAGAAGTACCCATCTCTGCTGTTGCCTAAAGCAGACGCTGTTAACTTGGACACTTCAGCTCAGTGGGTTGTCAGTATGCACTCCCACATACGTACAGGTGGAGACATGGGAGATGGCTTCATTGTGAATGACTGGAGCCCTGTAATCATTACTTACAGCTTTGTGTTCATAAATCATGTCTTTGTTGATTTAACATTCATTTTACTCTAGATAGTTGACGCTGTCCGGGGGAATAAGGGTAATGAACGGCTACAATTAACTTGCACAAGACTGAAATGCCTGTTTTCAACACGAATATTTTAGGTCTCAGGTTGGATTTTTAATGTCCACATGCAAACATATCTTCCCACATTGTGGGAAGTGGAAAGGAGTGGTGCATTCCAATGCTTAACAAAGGTAGATGACCAAATTAGCTGTTTCTTCTAATATGAATAATTAAAAGTACAATAAATAAAAAAAATAAAAAATACATTTTGGTCCAGGTAGTCTGAGGTCAAGTGGTCAAAATAACTAAAAAGACAAAGCAAGTGATCTGCTGGGGGAGGATAAAGTCCTTTTTTTACAACCTGGCAACACAAGATTTACTCTTAATACTGGCTTAGTGACCTGTAAAGGATTAGTAAATGATTAATAAAGGCATTATATACTTATCTCACATGCACACATTAGCAAGTGAGAAAATACCAATAAATTCACAGCGGTATTTGTCTGTCCTCTCATGCATATGGTGTGTGATTATTCCATGTCATGCCTCTACCAACAAATATGCACTGCTGTGCCCCGTACCAGTTAGTTAAGGTCCGCAACTATTCACAACACTAAGTGATGACCATTCATCACTCCTTTCCTTGACACAACCTCCATTACTCCCCATCTCCTCTTCAGTCTAATGGCTTCCGCAGAATGCCCATAATGCATCAGCCAATAAGGCTGCCAATGTGCAGCAACACACCACCTCCGGTCATTATGGCACGGCCTGATTGTTCATTTGTTGCACTTTCCAACAGAGCTCTACTTAAGTATATTTTTAACAAAAAGAATTATGGGCGTGAGTGCTCTTTTTTCTCTTTGTGGAGAGTTCAGTTCAGTGTCAAGGCAGAAGGTTTAAGACAATAGAAAGTGGAACACAAAGCAAGACAACTGTTGCAATGCTGATTTCAGGGTCAGAAAAATACTAAGATCCACAGAAACGAGATATTACATGAGCGCTAAAAAAGCAGATACCAAAGGGGATTAGAACATGAAAGAGATATATTAAAGGCATTAAAAACGTATTTTAAAAAGTCATAAAAGCTAAAGTGTGAGCTGATTAATAAAAGAACAGCTCACTTACTTGCAGAGGGTGTTTCAGCATGGACAGGAGGTGTGGAGGGGATGAAGGAGGGGAAGAAGAAGGATCGCAGAGATCGTTCGGTGTGGAAAGGTGAGCGCTGCGTGGGCAGATTCTCACAGCTGCCCACACTGCTGTGGATCTTAAGGTTCAAGGGCTTGGTCTTCTTCTTGGCTCTGAGAGAAACAAGACAACAACAAAAAAATTTGATTGACAGATTAGAGGTATATATACGCCTGAATGGCTAAACAGGTAAAAAAGAAACCCTAATGGCATTAAATATGTGCACTGACACAGTCAAAATGTATACATACTGTATACCCCACAGCTGAATGCAACAAGTTCACACCAGGGTGGGTATGAAAGTCACTCTGGTGCAGGGCCAGAGAAAGGAGAGTCAATTACATAGTTGCAAAATAACTCCTAGAAAGCATTGAACAAAGGTTTTAAGATTATCCTACAATGGATTTCTTTATTCATTTTGTATGAAAATCTTGCATTTATGTGCTTGTTCAGAGTCCCCCTACTGCAGATATCTCTAACGTGGTCGGTTTACCAAACAGTACAACACATATATGTGCAAATCCACACTACAAAACCACTACAGTGTTTTATCACAAACACAGAAAACAAACATGAGATAGTTTAAGCGTAAGTATGGTGCACTGTAACAACATAAATTAGGGATAAAGTGATCATGATACTGTATTTGTGGTTGGGTGTCATGTTCTTAAGCTGACAACAAAGCTACTGGCAAAGCAAACTGCTGACAGGATGAGAAAAGTATGCAGGATAGAGTAACAGAAGATCTGCCAAAGAAAAAGGAAAGGTAGCTAATTTGAAATGAAATGTCACACCTCATTTGATACATTGTTATGTATTAGTAAGTTTTTCTTTGATGGATTTAGTGTTTGTAATTCAGTGTTGTTGCTGAAACATTACTATCAGTTTTACTAATTGTTAGATATTGAGTCTTATACTAAGATGTTATGGCATCACAAAGCTACTCTATGTAAAACCAGAATCATTCAATTCAATTCCATTTTATTTGTATATATCAAAGCAGAAGTTACCTCAGGACACTTTTCATATAAAGAAGGTCTAGACAGTACTTACTACAGAGACCCAAACACTTGGTGACAGAGGCCAGGAGAAAAAAGCAGTAGAAAACAGTATGACTAATAGTAATACGATGATGCTGATTGCACATGAAACGGAAATGATATTTGCTCCTGCATATTTACATATTTCCTGTAAAAACAGGCAGCTAGGGAGGGACTTGCGGTAAAGCCAATAACACACGCTTTACGTCCTCCAGTCAAGCAGCTGTTGCACACCCATTAGCTCACTCTAAATAAATGTGAATCACCTTTCTGTCTGTCTGTCTTGGGGGTTGTTTAGTGAGAGGCTGCTGATACCTGTCTGTTTTTGTTCAGTAATCAGTGAAGTCTGGCCCCCTGCTGTTAGCTAGCTAGCTAACTAATGAATTTTCGCTCTGAAGTTGTAGAATGATTGAGGGGTAAATGTCACGATATTAGTGGTTGAAACTGGTCAGGTCATGCTTACGTAAGCACACGTCACATTTTGTTTTACAGGAAGACAGAATTGAATTTCTATAGGCTATAAAAATGCAAAGAAATAGATCTTTAATAAATTTGTTTTGGTCTACATTTTTAAAATAGGGGTACAGTATAACTGAGGGTGCAATATTAAAGGGTCATGTTACCTGGACTTTAAAAGTCTACAGTCATATAATAGCAGCTCTGTTAACGACTGACTGTTAATACAGTGGATGGAATTATAGCTGCAGTATTAGCAGTATTGTGAGTATTGATTGTGCAGTTGCTTAGTAATAACTTTGCACCATCTTACTGATTTGAAGTGACCACATGTAAAGACAATCTAAGTCATATTCAATACTTTTAATACTTTCCTGCCAGGTTTAAATTAAAGGTTTGTTTCTGCCTGTCCATTGTTAAGCTCCACCATATAAATACCAAGAGTATTTGTCTTAAGTCAACTTTTCTGTTCCAACAACTTACAGCAAGTTAACTTGGCAGCCTTTCAAAAGAAAAAGAGTTCCTTTTAGGTTGACAGCAATTAATTTTTGTAAGGTAGGATCATTTTTTGAGGAACTTTCATGCGGCTTAAGGATGTGAAAGCCCCTCAACAATCTAAGGAGCATCGAGACCTTCAGTGAAAATGTGAAAGGTTTATTTTGTGACAGGAATGATGGGATCAAGTCTTACTGAATTTGCTCTTTGGACTGAGCTGAGAGGGTTTGTTACCACATAATACCCAACAGCTGTCTCGTTACAGTCCTACTTTTCGACAGAAGCTTGAAAATTACTTGAAAAACATATTTTTAAATGAGTATTTCATGTCAAATCGAAAGTCACCAATAATTTCCCATAATCACTGGCTTCTGTTTGTATGCCTGCTTCCTTTTGCAAAACCTGTCAGTTCAGAAAAATACGCTTTGGATAAATAAGCTTATGGTGCAATTTGTCTTTGTTAGCTTGTCATACAATTTGTTCTTGTAAAACCTTTGTGTATTTCAGTATGATAGAAGTACACAGATCTTCATGTGATAGTGAGGTAACTGTGAGCTGAGTAAACTGACGAAACCTACACAGCTCGGCCTCATTAAAAAAAATTATCTCATTTGATTCAAAAATATCTCAGCTGACGTATAGAGTAGACTATTACAACTGTTTACTTAATTACGGATTGTCTTTAAGGCCCGAAATGTGAGCCATGGTGAAGCAGTGGGCATGTACTTCAAATTAGTGGATTATCACTATCTTTGGGTTTAACTCAGGCTTTCTGGTAATCACAAAGCTTTTCACTGTGGTAGATCATCATGGTAACCCTGCTCCATAGCTAAAGTGCTCCGGACCACGTCAACTTTAAAGGATCAGATCAAAATGTGTCTGACTACTACAGCTCACTGGAAAAAGAGTAATCTCTGTTTAAACCTAGCCTTCAAAGAAACTGAGGACACCACACAGAGTTATAGCTTCAGCAGCTTGACTACAATTGTATCTTAGTTGTGCATTTAAGCCTTTAAATATTTGGATATTATACATAGAAGTCAAAAATATTTTTGCAAATCTGGACAGACACTAACACCAACTATTGGGGAACAATAGGATGACAGAAAAAATATAAAGCCATCAGAAGAGCAAGACCCCATAAAAGCTCATCAAATGGGCTGTTGTAATGTCAGCTACAGGTGGGTACTGGTATTTTTTAAATTCCCAATGTAAGTTCCTGTTTGAAATATACCTTTTCATATATATGAATGAGTACACAACTCACTGGATTACGCTGATACCGGAGAAAACATGTATATATGATGATTCTCAAGTTCTGAAGAATCTTTTTCTAAGATTTCAAAGTAGATTTATGGCCGTTTATTCAAAATAATGACACAGCTCCGGAATAAGTAAGTAAGTAAGTAAGTAAAAGTAAGTAAGTAAACTGAAAGATTCCTTGATACAGGCCCCCGGAGGCAAATACACATGAAAATATGCACATCCAACCTACTGTGTATGCATAAAGAAATTCATGCATAGACGCAAAAATAAACCTGCCTTTAACCCGAAGGCAAAACATTGTGTCCTCAGGCTTAGCTGAAGTCATATGACATGTAGACAAGTAACTGAATGAGTTCTCAACTTGGGCAACATGAGATTCATACATCTCTGAATTGACTTGCAAACTGATGCCTGAATGATGCACAGATGCATACACAGCTTAAACAGTGAACGACGGGTCAAAGAGCTGCATATAGAGTGAGCTAGAAAAACAGGAAAACAGACAAACAGCAATAGGAAAAGCTATAGAGAAGAGCCAGAAAGAACTAGTTGACAAATAGAGTTAAACACAAATCAAACCAGGTCACAGACAAGAGCAGTCCGATATGCAAACAGAAGAGAAGACATTGGTGAAAGTCCAGACAGACACAAACCTGAAAGTGACAGGTGAGAACAGGTATGAATGGAAAGAAAAACAGACAGACAGTTTATCCATCAAAAACGTAAAGTAATAGTTTCAAAGTAAAAAACCTGTAAAAAGGCTGTGAGTCTTGAGTTTTCAGGCACAGTAACACTCATTAAGTGTTAAATCCCACAGGATTTTTTCCTCACATGCCAGTCTCTCACTCCCTAAACTGAGTCATGCAATTAGACCTGTAAACCAGCCCAGCACTTCACTCCCATCTCCTGCAATAAGGAAGCAGCCTGCAGGTTATCACTTCTCCGTCATAGAGCTTTTGTCAGCTATTCCGATTAGCCCACTTTATGCCATTTGAATCTAAATTAAACCATTCATCTCCCTGTATGCATGCCTTTATCCTCTCCCCGAATGATTTGTAGATGTTCAGTGAGGGAAAAGTGAAAATGAATGTAGAGAGAAGAGAGAGGATTCCCAATTTTGGTTTTGAAACGGCTTTTGGTGAAGGCGGGCGGGCGTAGGGGGAGACTGACAACTCCACAGTTGTTAAAGCACCTATTCAGATACCTTTTTCTACTCGGCATATAAAAAGTTCAAGGAAAGAGAAACTTGAAGAATACACGATACAGAAAGACAGAAGAAGAGGGAGGTGGGTGACTTGTCAAGTGTCAAGAGAAATCAGCAAAGGTGTGAATAGTAGTTGTCCTTTGATCTAGTCTAGGATTGTACATCACGATGCGTTTCTCACAGATGGAAATCACTGCATGTTTGTGTCACATTTCAGATAGAATTTCTGAATCTTTTATCCCACCAGGTCTTCCATACTGAGTAAACAGGAACACCGAAGATTTTTTTTCACAGCATCATTCAAGCATTTCCACTTGACATATTGTAGTGATTAAATTACCCAATTGTGTCATGTTTATTACCTACTGATTTACTGATCTCTTATTCATATTCTTTCTCCCTGCCGTATCCTGAATTACTGAAGCCCTATTGTATCCACTGTGAAGTGCAATCTAAAGTTTCCATAACATGAATTTGTGTTAATCCAGGGATCAAAAGTCATTTTTAAGGCGTTAGCTTGTTTTTCGGTTAGACTTTGTCATCAGCTCTGTCAGAGGGAATCAAGGGAATCTAGCTCAGTGTTTTGTGAGTACACAAAAGAAAGAACAAAGTATATTTAACACAAACATATCAATTTTGTCATGCAAAAACC